TTCTTAAACCTTAATGTGCTTAACTTAAATAAGAACTAAAAGAGAAGCACTTTTAACCACCAAAGACTTGAATGATCTTCAAAAGAAAAACAAGAGATGTAGATCCATGCTACTTACAGTTTTTGTGAGAAGAAAATAAGAAGAAGAGAGTGTTTCACTTGTCCAAAATGCATGCCTCATGCATCTCTTATATAGACCATGGAAGGTAAGGGCTTTACATTATAATAATGTAAAGTAAATCTCTTATTTTCAAGAAGCATGGTCAAGCATGGAGGTTGACAACCAACCTCCATAATATTATATATGTTTAGGCGATACCTCTCATAAGAGGATGGATTCTTTATTCTTTATAAACTCCGAGTTTATAAAATATAAACTTTGTCTTTTAGGTAAAAGACAAAAGAATCCAACTAGTCCAAAATATTGCGCATGACTTATTAATTCATACCATATGAAATAATAACTAGTTATACTCTCTTATAATTATGATTTTCATAAAACAATAATTATTCCATAATTAAAATACAAGAATATATATTATTAATTAATAATCACATTAATAATAAATATATAAAATGTGTCAACTTGATAAAGGAGAGACCCTATAGGATCATATAATATTAGCAATATCACTCCCTAATGATTCTTAGGCATATAGATTCAACAACCTCTTCATGGAGGTTAGCATTCAGAATAACATTCTTGACATCCATTTAAAAGATCTTCCACCGTCAAACGGATGCAGCCGCAATCATAGTACAGGCTGTCATTATCTTTGCCACTGGGAAAAAGGTATCCTCATAGTCAAAACTGTATTGTTGGGAATATCCTTTTGCTACCAGTCTGGCCTTATACCGCTCAACAGATCCATCAGATTTTTTTTATCTTGTACACCCAATGAAAACCAATCGTATGTTTCCTAGGAGGAAGGGAAACCAAATCCCGTGTATGATTTTGTTGAAGAGCAATGAGTTCCTTAGCTATAACATTCGTCCAAAGAGGATCTATTACAACTTCTCAATACAATTTACGTTTAGACAGACAGTAGATGCTAGCTATAAATTAATAAAATGATTCTGAGTATGTAGAGTAAGCAAATATGGAAGCTTGGTGGACTTGATAAGACGAGTAGACCTCATGAGGGCTGGTGTTGGTGGGTCATCACTCTCAACAGTCGAAGGGGCAGACTCAAGAATAGGAGGATTCGAGTGTAACACCCGGTTCCTGGTATGTATTTTAGTTAAAGTAAACTCAGGTTATGCTCTAGGACTCTACGAGTTGGAGGCCTAACTCGTCGAGTAGACACGACTTTGGATCGGTAGGATAAGTGACCTACTCGACGAGTCGGGAGACCAACTCGATGATTAGGACTATCTGGATGAAACCCTAATATTTGGGGTTTGCACCCTATTTAAACAACTTATAACGCCTCAACCCAGCCTTTATTATTCCTCCCAACCTAGAGAAAACCCTAACTCAAACCCTAAGCCTCTTTTGAGTGTTCATAAGCTTTTTGGTGACTTTTGTGTGCATTTGAAGTTGGAAGAGAAGAAGGAAGCTTGTGAGTTCAAGTGGAAGTTATTAGATCTAAAGGTTTTGCTTCATTCTTAGTTCATTCAAGGTAAAAAGCTTGAACCTTGACCATCTATCTCTTAGATCTTGTTTTGGGGGTATTTTCTACCCTTTTTATGAGTTTGTGAAGCTATAATCAGATTTTGTGAGTGTGTTTGGAGTTACACTTCAGATCTGGAACCATTGAGGGTTCCCATGGCATAAAGGTGCCAACTTTAAGGTCATGGGAGACCCAAGCTTCTTATATGCCTCTTTTTATGGCTTTTTGAGCCAAAAACCCCATGCATGGACGTCAAGATTGGAACTTTATGTATAAAATGGACCTTAAGAGGTCAGATCTATGGTTTTGATGCATTAAGACCCATTATAATCGACTGAATAGTTTTGGACAAAGTAGGAATCAGCAAGTTGCGTGGGAGACTTAGTGAGTCAGGTCACATTTTCCCCCGAATATCTTCTGGTAATGGTATTTGGTTGAGTGGAAGGGGCACTCAACCTATTAGGGGTTTGTTGTGGACATGAAGATAGAAGGACTCGACGAGTTCAAGGCAATATCTCAACCACATGAAGACGGACTCGATGATTTCAAGGACGAACTTGGCGAGTCATAGACTGAACAACTTCATACGGATGGAGATGGACTCGACGAGTTCAAGGAAGAACTCGACAAGTTCAAGGAAGAACTTGACGAGTCAGTTGAAGAAGGTCCTGATGTTTTGTTGCAGGAGAACTAGTCGAGCGCTTGCTAGACTCGACGAGTAAAGACGAGGTTGTAGCATTTCATGGAAGTGGGGACTCGATGAATTGGTGGACCAACTCGGCGAGTCGAGTCAACCAGATGTTGACTTTGACTAGGGTTTTGACCTTGACTTTGACTTGGACTTGAGTGACCCTTGTAAGGGTTATGAGTACAAATTGATAACTTAGAAAACTTGTCGTGTAGGGATTGAGGAGTCGAGGAGAGTTGGTTCCATACCGAGAATGGTGTAGAAACTACACAACATCGAGGTGAGTTACCTTTTACTAGAAGTGGGTCTAAGGCACCAAGGCCGACCCACTAGTAGTTTATTATAGTTGAGATGATTGTGTTTGTGATAATTGTCTGGTTTGCTACTACCTGATGTGTTTTATATGCCAGTATGATATGCTATAAGTGTTTGTGGTAGTAGGTAGTCCTTGTGACCGAGTGAGATAGACCTGAGGGTAGGCAGGCACCCCAGAATGGCTTGAAACGGGTAGGTCAGCACCCCATAATGGATTAACGTGGGTAGGTCGGGAACCCCAGAATTGCCTAGCAGTATGTATGATTGTATAGTATGTGGTATGATGGGGGAACTCATTAAGCTTTGTGCTTACGGTTTTCAGTTTTGGTTTCAGGTACCTCTTCATCTAAGGGGAAGGAGCCGGCAGGGTAGCAGCGCATTGCACACACATGATTCCACATTTGAGAACCCTGAGATTGTACTTTGACATTATACTATTTGACACTATGGTTTTTGGAAACATGTAACTATGTTTTATGGTTTGATGTGATATCAGTAATGTTTTACTCAACTAGTTTTACAAGTATTATAATTTAAAACAAAAAATTTTGGTCTTGATTTTTGGGATGTTACAATTTAGGAAAAGGGGGAAATTGGGTCCCTGGTTTATTGGACCTTTTGGGGTAATTTTTAGGGTTGGCAAGGTAGGTTACCGGTTAGATTTTTCGAGCGAGCTCATTCAGATCCACAACACTTTCGATGTATCTTAGTTGCGGAAGTGTGTGTTGGACGGCGAGGTAGTGGTTTCGTTGGAGGATATCCAGGTCGATGAGCGCCTAAACTATGTCGAGAGGACGGTAGCTATTTTTGAAAGAATGATGATGGGCCTGCGCAACAAGGAGATACCTTTGGTAAAGGTACAGTGGCAACATCGTAAAGGCTCCGATTGGACCTGGGATCCGGAGGTTGAGATGAGGGAGCATTATCTTGATTTATTCATCGTAGCCGACTTCGAGGACGAAGTCTAGATCAAGTGGGGGAGAATTTTAACATCCCGATGATAAGGTACTTCTAAGTTTGACCCTATAATTGAATTATATTGCATTTTGGTCCCTAAGTGTAAAAAAGAGTGCAAAAGGGCCCATAGTGGCATTTTGGTAAAAGTGGGACTTGAGGAGTATGTTATGTGTACATATGTACGCTAAGCATACTAATACATGCCTTAGTATGTTGGGTGTACACCTCGTATACAGGGAGTATGTGGAAAAGCATGCAAACCCTAAGTTTAGGGTTTTGGTTCATATTTAAGCATCATTAAGGCCTCACATTTCATTCTTATCTAGTCTCCTTCTGTGATATCAACCCTCAATCAACCCTAGAGCACGAGAGAGAGAGAGAGAGAGAGAGAGAGAGAGAGAGAGCAAATTTAGAGCCTTTAAGTGAGCTTTGGAGTGGTTTTGAAGAAAGAAGAAGGTGGTGAGAAGATATTGGAGTTGAGTGTATTTTGGATCTAGGATTTCTAGGTTGTTTGCAACCACTAGAAGGCATAAAGCTTGCATCTTTACCACTCCATACTGTAGATCTAGGTTTTGTTCTTTTATGTCACTTTTTGGTCACAAAATGATGATTCATGAACATAATATGTTCTTGACACATTAAGTTGTTCTTTCAGACCTTTTGAAGGGTCTTGAGTCATAAAAATGGGTTCCAAATGGTTGGTTTTGCTCCATGCATCACTTAGAAGGTCTTAATGGATTAAGAAGTTGATTTAAGCACTTAATGGACATGTAAAGCCATAAAGTTAGAAACTTAATGGACATGCAGTGTTCAAGTAATGCTCCTAAAATAAGATTTGAGTATTGGATTAAACCCACGCTCACTTGAATCACTTCATGGATTTTTATCACGGGTGATTAGTGAGACAATAATATCTTATATTCTTGAAACCAAGACATGTGAGTTGTAAATTAAAAGTCAGTTGCAAATTTATAATATGTAATCGCACCAGTAACTTGGGCTGATCACCCATGTCACTTAAGCAACACAAACCGCTAACATGCAACCACAAGTCTCAAAAGATTATAACCCCTCTTTGAAAACATGTTGATTCAAACAGCAACAAATCCTCCAGGCTCTTGAATCAAACACACCCAAAGGGTTCAAAGGATCATAACCTTCCCCTCATATTTTAATGTACAAAACTCCAGGGAGCCTAGAAGTGACGACCTCGACTCACTTTGGTCACCCACAAAAGAGATGTAATTGGCTGCTTGACCAAAAGCCAAAAGCAAATATGCATATCATAAACGGGTGAATGCTACGAAAAACCAATCAATCTTTAAAAACACAACATTAAAATCTACAGAGAGTCGGATACATAAATATTTTAGGAAATACATATAAACACAAGACAACAACAAATACATAGAAACATATAAGCAAAGATCAATTATGGCGTGGAAGAGCCAAGGTAACACCCTCGGGCCCACCGTCTGAGGCAAATTCCTCCTCCTCGAAACATAGCCGACGAAGGTCAGCGCGACTGAGCTTGCCCAAACAAAGATAGGACGCAAAATCCATCCCAGAAAAAGCTTTGATGGCAGCTTGCATTGCTTCAACAGATCGTGCTACAACATTTGGCTCTGACAAGCCAGGATCGCTACTAGCTAGCCACCCTCACGCCACCTGCTTCCCACTCTCTATACCAGCAGCTACACATGCAACCTTTACACATCGGATCCCAAGTACGAACTCACTGCTCTCAACAACACGGTCAACCATGAAAACCACCCCTTTTTGAAGGACTCGAGCCAGATCAGCCTCCAAGACCTTCCTCCTCAAAACCTCGGCCGCCAATTGATCGTCCCATTGAACCAAGTGCTCTGCCAATGCATCTTTCTCCAAGCTCAAACTGTAGACTTGCTGGGATAGTCGATTGACCTCCCCATCGGGATAGTCGATTGACCTCCCCATCCGGAGTTGTCAACTGATCCTCAGCGGCAGACTTTTCCATGGACAATATAAGGAGACATTCATCAAACTTGCACCGCTCCTCCTCAAGGAGCCAAATCTTCTCTATAAGCTCGTTACTTCTGATTTGACGGTAGCTAGTTCCGCCAAATTGCCCTCTACGTAACGAATACGTCCGATAGTTACCACTAAGTAAGGGGCAACCTAGGAAGCAACATACTAAAGATCATTCTCCAGATGAGAGTGAGAACGGAGGTTAAGGGACTCTAAGGTAGCCGGAGGAAATGCGTGACGACACCACTCATGAGCAATGCCCTGTTCTGATAAAAGGGGAACCATGAGTAAGATTCCAATCATGAAGATATACATCAAGAGCGCTTAAAGGCGAAGGATCATCCTTCATGTGGACATCACGCAAAGCAGAAGGTGGGTTGGAACAAGCACCCATGGCGCTCCCCCTAGCTCCCGGCTAGCGCAGTTCCACCGCCTCCATTTTTTGTGGGATGTCACCATCAACAATTTCAACGACAACATGTAACTTAGAAATCAAAGAGTCGATGATGTGCCTTCAACGTAAGCGCCTACCGATGGTGTTGCCACCAATGTCCTCCACAAGGGTAGCATCCAGAGCAGCTAACCGACGTTTGGAAGACACTTGGTTAATGGATGTGCCTGGTTCTCCGTGTTAGGGGCCCATTGAGAAACCCATCAAACAAGGCTAAACCTAATAAACAAGCCTTGGCCTAGTGTCAATGGTTGGGGTACTGGTCGCGAAAACCCTGCTGACACTGGCAGGAGCTAGGAGTGTCTCCACCAGAGGGACCTCATGATACTAAAGGTCCCTTTTTAAATTCCCCTGCAACACTTTTTCAAGAGACAGAAGCTTCTTACTACCTGCAACAATAACAAAGCAAGTCCACCTATGCTTCAGCAAAGAAATTTTACGCAAACAAAAGAGAGGGGGTAAGAAGGTAACACGTACTGTCACTTTCTACAGAAAACCGAGGCATCATCCCACGCAACCTCCAAGAAACACTCATTTCAACCGCTGCCAACATGCAATCTGACCAATCCCCGTTGTTGAAACAAATCCCTCTTAACGCGCAAGCTATCGACAGACTTGCCTCCGACAATTGGGGCGCCCAATCTGAAGAAATGGGCACACGAGTATAGCTAGGCCCAATCGAATCGTCGTTAACCCACAACCACCAATCTTGCCAGTTCTTTTGAGGCGCCTATTGATTAACTATAAAGGTGTGTGTACTACGATGCTGAGAAAAGGTTTGAACACCCGAATGGGTAGACGAATTGAAGAAAGATTGGAATGCTCAAAGTTAGGGAAGGATGCCCAACGCCCGACACCCCAACTCAAACTCCACTATCTTATTCACATCGTTAGGGGTCAAGTCGTGAATAGATAAACCATATTTGCATAACCTCGTCAAAGATGTCCGAAACAGGAAGACGAAACCTGACCTCGAAAATCGCCATTAGAATACCAACTTTCCCCGCTGACAGTTGATAACTCGTAGACCCCTCTAGCAGGAATTGAACTCCATGCTCGGGTGTGAACCCAAACTGGAACTGAAGAAACTCAAACTCCTCAGGTGTAGGGTGGATCTAGATCTGATGAAGGCCATCGGGAATCAGAAAAGAAAGGCACGAGAGAAAGGAAAAATCGACAAAAGAAAACAAAATAGCTAGTATACCAAGAAATGAAGATCATAACCGTTAAGGGACCTCTAAATAAGTTGTGAAGTGATGGAATCGAACCGTTCCAACGGTGGAAAATGTCTAACTAGAACAACTATATTACGTCAGAAATGCATCACAAACCATTCTCACTAAACACGTGCCCAAATCCACTCTAGAACAATTCAGCTAGCCTGAGCAAATGCTAGAATTTACTATCCTAGGGGACTTGTTGACGTATCTCATCAAGAATACATTGAAGGATAACATGAGTGTCAACCAGAAAGAAACCCGATCAAGGAGTGCCACCTAGGTGAGCGCCGAATCTGGGCCATCACCCAAGAGACTTCGCACACTCATCCTCGAAAGCCCACAAATCAGAGATAACCCCCCAGAATTGGGAACCATGTCTCCCATGGGACAGAAGAGTACTTCCAGCTCCCATAGAGAGAAGGTTAGTGCTTTGAACCCCACCTCCTAACGACGCCACACCAATAGCAAAAACCATATGCAGGACACGTCTCGACGGTGAAAAACCTCCATGACCTGAATAGGTAAAAGATATTGTCAGGGGTCTGTTCTCTCAAAGACAGGTATAAAAGGTCCCTTCTCCAAGAGAAGGGATGAATAATCTTTCACTACCCCCTCCTCTTAAATATATACTAGAACTCTCAAGGAAAGGAACTAACTTGATCATCAGAGCTTCGTTCCGGGATCACCCCAGACGAAGTCTAACAAATTTCTTCTCTTGTACTGTGATCATCGGAGCTTCATTCCATAACACTGTACTTAGGATTAGCTCACTTAGCATTTGGTGACACTTGTTTCTTTGCTTGTTGTTTGCCTTGCATTTGTACATGTAGCATACTCTGATGACTTGGTGTGGATGGGGTCTAATGGGTAGCTACTTTTAGTATTATTTTAGTGATGATACCATTTGGACATTTCGTTAGAGTATTCATAACATTAGTTTTAAGAACTTGGTTTGGATTGGTTTATAAGCTTTAATTTGGATGAATGATGTTTTTCGTAATAAAAGTAACATTGGTGATGTTTCTATAAATTTTGAAATAAGACTTCAACTAATGTGTTCTGCTAAATAAATGTTTAAAAATAAAAAAATTTGGGTGAGAAATCACGGTGTTACTGCACAAACCCTAAAAATTAGGGTTTTCCCCTAGTGATCGTACGCCCTGTATACCTCCATGTACGCCCCACGTACGTGGGTGCCTCTGCGACCAAGTCTTCGAGCCAGTATGCTCAGCGTGCTCCTAGCATACACCCAGAGTTCTCTACTAGGGACCAAAATGAAAAAAATAAGTTAAGGGAAAAAGGATAATACCTAAAATGCAAATGTTACAATTCTCCCCCACTTGAATCAGAGTTCGTCCTCGAAGTTCGTTGTTGCGAATAATTCTGGATAATGCTCCCTCATCTCGTCCTCAGGCTCCCATGTCTATTCTGAACCCTTGCGGTGTTTCCGTTGCACTTTTACCAGATCCACCGACTTGTACCGCAAAGCCTTCGTCCTCCTCTCAAGGATGCCAATCGGCCTCTCAATATAATTCAGACGATTATCCACCTAAATATCCTCCAATGGAACCACCGATGAATCATCAACCAAAAATTTCCGCAGATGAGAGATATGAAACGTGCTATAGATCTGACTAAGCTCCTCGGGAAGATCACTGCGATGAGCAACCCTACCCACCCGGGCCAAAACCCCGAAAGGACCGATATACCTGGGCCTCGATTTTCCCCTCTTCCAAAATCGGATGGCACCTTTCCAAGGTGACACCTTCAGGAGAACCATATCCCAAACCAAAAACTCTAGATCTGATCGACGCTTGTCGGCATAGCTCTTCTGCCGACTCTGTGTTGTCTGAAGTCTACCCCGAACCTGCTGAATTAACTTAGTAGTCTTGAGTACCACCACAGTACACCCCATGACTTGCTGACTGACCTCACCCCAACATGTGGGGGTCCTGCACTTTCTCCCATAGAACATCTCAAAAAGAGGTCAATTAATGCGTGTGTGATAATTTTTGTTATACGAAAACTCTGACAAAGGGAGATACGTATCCTAAATCCCACCAAAATTCAATACACATACCTGAAGCATATCCTCCAAGGTCTGTATAGTCCGTTCTCTTTATTCGTCAATCTGCGGGTGGAAGGCCATGCTAAAATGCAGATTAGTACCGAGCTCCTCGTGAAACCTCTTATAGAACCTGATAGTAAACCAGACATACCTGTATGAAACCACTGAAACTGGTACCCCATGTTATGCCACAACCTCCCTGATGTAAATGCCAACCAAATTCTCCGTAGAGATGCTCTCCTGAATCAGAATGAAATGTGCGCTCTTGGTCAATCGATCCACAATGACCCATATTGAATCCACTGCACGCGCTATCTGTGGCAACTTCATGATGAAATCCATAACAATCTCTTGGGATGTCTAACAGCTGCATCTTGCGGTGAGTTTCCTGATGCTCGACCTTGACTTTCTTGCAAGTCAAGCACCTCTCCACATACCATGACACATCTCGCTTCATGCATGTCCACCAATAATCGGGACAAAGATCCCTATACATGTTTATTGCTCTGGGATGAATAGAGAACCTCGATTTATGAACCTCGTCCATCAATACCTAGCACACACCACCCAAATATGTAACCCACATACTTCTACGAAGCGTCAATAACCCTCTATTATCATAATTAAAGGAAGCCACATGATCCACTATGCGCTCACTCTTCCCGTGCTCTTCCTTCGTAGCCTCAACCAGAGTCTCTCGAATCTACTCTAAAAGTGGAGTAATCACCGTCATCCTCAAACACATATCCCTGATCGGAACTGTGACCGCCTTGCGGCTGAGAGCATCGGTCACCACGTTGGCCTTCCTCGGGTGATAAATGTGTAACACCCGAGTCGCGAGGTATGAACTAATGATTTAATGTATTTTTTAAATTTAACTTAAAGGTGATGGAGGTTTTTGAGTACATTGCGCGTACATTTGGTACCAACAACGTACTCATTGCATGCACACCATCACCCGATGTACGCTGGGCGTACTCAAGCCAGAGGAAAACCCTAAGTTTTAGGGTTTGCACCTTATTTAAGCATCCCAATCCTTCACTTTCCTTACCTTATCAGCCACATTACCCCCTTTTAGTGTCAACTTTGAAACCCTAGCCGTTTTTAGTGCATATTGAGCTTACCTTGAGTATTTGGGTGATCTTTGGTGGTTTTGAAGAAGAAGGAAGCTTAGAAGGAGAGAATGAGAAGAAGGAGCTTGAAGATCTAG